CAATTGAGCTGCCAGTTTTTTTCATAAATTTTTCTTGGTCGGCGTCCACGATGCATTACTTCGACAGTTTTATTCCTAACTAGCTGCCTCGCAGGCGTTGTCCTGCGTGAAATTATGTGTTTTGAAATGAAAAGAAAATTGAACTTATATTGTGTTAAAAATCATTTATTTACGATTTTCCTACGTTTTTTTTTTCCAACCTGTGAACCCGCCAAGTATAACTGGCCGTGTGAAAAAATGACATTTTTAGATTTGTCGTACTCTTCTAATGTTGGAGCTTAAAGGAATTCGTAGAATCAAGCATTTGGGCCCCTTGTATTCGATAGCTACGTCACAATCAGTCGGGTTCTTTTACACAGTTTTGGCGCAGAAAGATTGCGAAACATAATAATGACAGATCTAACTTTGAGACGCAGAGTATACGGCGGTATGCCAAGCCTTTCTTAAAGATTTTAGAAATTGCACTGCATAATTCACGGCTTCGTCTTCATTGGTGGTGAGTGACCGTTCCCGCTACAGTCGGGTCTACGAAAACCGGAACGGACCCGGATTTTTATCCGGTCAAGGACTGTCAACTCGGCAGAATTTCTGCCGTTACAGCAACAACAACAGTGTTGATGTAAAATGTCTTCGGAAATGTCATTTTTGTTCGTATTCCATAATAGACGCGGATGTGAAGACTGATATGTCAAAATGACTATCGTGAAAAGTATGCGAACTTCATTTGCATTCCAATTATTAACATGTTCTAKCAATTATAATTGCTGGCTCACTTCTGCAAAACTTGCACACACCGTACCATTCACAGTACACAATGACTGAAATGAAGTGGAACTGCGTACATTAATCAAAAGCAACCGAAGGTAGAAACAATCGTCGTGACTGAAATTAAGTGGAACCGCGTACATTAATCAAAAGCAACCGAAGATAGTAACAATCGTCGTTTTTCAGGTGGATTGTGTAAATTTCTCCTAAGGCATTAGTTGAGAACACCTGGATATCCATCTTCTGCTTGACCTTGCTTTCTGAGTAACCATTTCTACGACGATTCATTCCATGTCTAATGTCAAGGCATTTCCGAATAAAGCAATGTTCTCGCAAACGGATCTCTGACGAAAGTTGAGCAAAAACTCGAAAATGTTAATTTTGTTGCTGGCTTTGTTTCACTGGCTTTACTGTATTCTCTGGGTTGAAATACACTCTTTGGCCATTCTTCAAATGTACTGCGAAACGCATTTGATACTTGCTGATCTCATCTCGCYCAAAGCCAACAACCGCCATGTTGGTTTGTTTGGTGACGTATTTGCGCAAACGTATTTGATCGATTTCACCAAACTGTAATATTCAGCATTGACATGAGTTTTGAATGTGAATTAGACAATAATGTGAATATAGTACGAACCATGTGTTTCAACTTCGATATTCACTCTTCTAAATTGAATTCTGAATGTTCTGTAATTGTCGTCTGATGAGCGAGACCAATAGACTGGATATCCATCGTTTCTAGTATGTGGTTCCGTAAGAAAAGCACGTGAATAGTTTTTCGTGCATTTATTGTCAGACATACAAACCGAAGTGGGAATGTGGTGTCCGCAACGTCCATGAACCATATTGGTATTCACCACTTCGTATAATACTGGATTTTTCTCTGCATCAGGAATTTCCGCTAATGTCATCAATTTCATCTGGTGTAACCGCCATCCACCATTCAAAAAAGAATGTGTACGTGCGACAAACCTCCCTTTTGCCACTCAACAGAGTACATCTAGCATCTAACAGCACCACATATACTATACGTTGCTTCAAGATAAAGCTCATCAAACATCGTAAATGTTTTTTGAAAAGTCGTGCTGTGACATCGTAACGATCGCTTGCTGATTGACCAGCTATTTTGACAGATTCAGACCCAAAGAAAAGATGTGTTGGTTTCATTGAGCATAGATTCTGTATGCCTGGGTCTATTCTGGAAAAGTAGGAATTTAATCTGCTACAATACCCAGAACGAAGTGCCTMTTGGAAATTGGTCGCGTCCGAAATATGGACAATTATTGTTTGATTTCGTCTACGTATTAAAAAAAATGTTCTGATGTTCCACGAAGGCGACTCCGCACCTAGCAGGTGCCTGCAGAGATGTTTTCTGGAAAAAAAAATTACAGTTCGATAATGCTGAGAATTAAACTTCAAATTATTGGTCGTATGTTATTAAGGTACACAATACAAAAATATTAAGCTGCTATTCTTTTGCACATTATACTTAAATATTTTGTTTTGTTAGTAATATTTAATAACAGTGAGCGTGAACTGATAATTTTGTATGGCACATAACGCATACAATTTATATAATTTTAAGCACTTTGTTTAGTTGCCATACAAATTGCAAAATTCTTAATTGTGACCCTACTTTCAATATTTACATAATGTTTATGTACTATTTAAAGGAATTAAATTATTATAATAGATAATAGAATATGTATGTGTCTTTGCCCTTAGCTCCTTATTCATCTGCTCAGAAAACCCTAAATGGTCAATAGCCAATTGAACATCAACCTGCATGGAAACGCGGGTTAGACAATCGGGGTAAAGTGAAATGCACACGGAATGCATACATATGTATGTATGTTAAACTTGATACGAGTTGCATATGTATGTGCATCACGATTCGAAGTAAACAAGTATTCGTCACGTGCCCTATGTTGTTTTTACTCTTTACTTTTTCAACATTTTTGTGTGCTTTCGAGTTTGCATGCAATTGATTGCACGCCAGTCAGAGCGAACGAAGTGAGTAAAGCATGTGAGTAGTATCCGGGATCTCAGTATTTGCAACTAGTATCAAGTTTAACATACACATACAAATGATTTTCACATATACATATGTCAACAGATATGTGCAAGTTTACCTGCTCACATACTTGTTACAATAAATAGCACGTTGCAGTCACATGTTACTAATTGGAACGTCTGAATAAAATATATGAAATGTGGGTTTGGTTGTAAGTACACACACATTGTACATACACTACAAGTATACACCTATGATTAAATAATGTTTCATAGCAAGTGCATATATAGTATGTAAGTAAATACTCTTATCAACATGTGATGTGTTCATTTCACGCGATCGCATTAGGYAGTATTATCACATACTCGTGTGTTTGTAAGTATACTAGTGAAATAGAAAATTCAAAAATATTTCGGGAGGCTAGAAATAACGTCAGTGCTCATATTTACCTTATTCATCTATAAACAAACTACATATTTACATACAGTCGCCCAATAAAGTCTATAAACAACCCCGGAAAGTATGGTTCTGGACCATCTGTGCACAATAGAACAACTAAATAATACCAAACGAATTCCAATTAAGAGTAAAAAGATAAATGCTCACTGGGGATCAAATCAGGATACTAAGGAGGGGAATGAAGTTGATAAGGCACATTATATATCAGCCATTTCTTAACAATACATGCTTTGGRTCAATTTGCTATGTGTAGCCCCGTTATATTTCTGGATTTCAATGTTGATACCAATGTCAAAACATACGTTTTCTGTTTACATTTATATTTGAATTTTTGAAAATGGGAAGCTATGGAAACGGTTAAATTTAGTCAGAAAAGTGAAACGCGCCGCACATCGGACGTTTTTACTCTAACAGCGTTCGGCTTATTTCTATTTCTCGAAAAAATGGGTATATTCACTTCGCAGACGTACAATATGATATGATACTACTCCGACAACAATTGCGCTTGTGATACGCCAAAGAGAAAAAGTTTGAACGATTACTATTTTTTTTTTTTGTGGCGACGATCTATAATTATATTCCAAATGTCCTCGATACCGACATGTTTTTAATATCAGACTCAATATTATATTCGCTACACATTTCAAAAAATTATCAACGAGAGCAATTGTCAAATATACTTTCTCAAAGTCGGCTGTTATTTGACTAGTAGTTAACAGAACAACAGAAATTTGGGGTTTAACTAATAGTTAACTAAGCATTGTTAACAAAAAGTACTTAGTTAAGCTGTTGGTACTGGTTAACTAATCACTTTGAATTCAGCCTTTAGAAATTTGTTGACTTTCTGATAATTGATAACTAGTTATCGCACTTCAATACTAATTTCTGATTGTTTTTAGAGAAATTTTTGCATGTCAAATATCTTTTAAAGCTTTTAATTTCAAATAAGTTGTATATATATAGTATAGACATATATATGTATAAATAAATTAAGTTTATAAGTATATTATTGGCATGTATGTATCTCATATCGAATTCATTTTATAATAAAAAATAAATAAAATTAATATATGCGTATTTACTTTTATATTACCATTTAAATTCAATTTTGTGTTCAAAATCTCACAATCATATTTAATGAATATTTCAATTTTATTTTAACAATTTTGAAATATTAATATTAAAATGAAGAAAATCAAATTCGAAATTGACTTGATTCCTAGATTACTGATAAACTAGCTGTAAATAGCAGAAATTAGCTAAAAAAATATTAAAACGTCGTCCCATCATATCAATTAAACAATTTTAATCAAATCTCGTTTGCTAACACGTGTTTTAACAGCTGTTTCAGATGTTTCTTCTTATGGCGTAGCTATTTTCTTCGGGTAAAAAATTCACTAGTAGAAACTAAGAGCTCTCTCAGCTTTTGCTTCAGCTAGCAACAGTTAGGAGTTATGGAATAAACTAAATATTTCACTAGAGAAAGAACAGTTCTCTCTTTTCCTTCTTCATTTTGAACTTGTGCTCTTTGCTGCTAGTTGAGTAACGAAACGCCTTTCCACCAGAAACTTGTCTATTGATATTTAGCAAAACGGAAACCAACTTCATACTTACGCAAATCATAAAAAATATTTTTTTTTACCAATTTATTATTCATATAAAAGCAACGGAACAAAAATACACTTCACGTATATTGAAATTGTAAAAAATTAAAAATATTCATTCAAAAATGTTTTTTGTACTTTTTTTTCATTCATAAAGGTAACAGCAGAAATTAATAGTATTTAAATCACTTTGTAATCAATACAAAATTTTCTTTAATCATAAAAAAACTTAAAGGTAAAATAGTCTGTCAGAAAGATCTTCTGCAGTAGCCCTTCTAATGCTTTGACCTATGAGGWATGCCATTTTATGCGCATATTGGCAACAAGCCGGTATGCGAATAGTRCCTGGCCAATTATAATACATGAAACAGAGTTTATATGTCAGCCTTTGTATAATATCAGGACTATACTTAGCGTCGTCTCTTAATACTATATAATGAGATGGTGTAACAGTTCCTTGGCGTACAGTTTGTGATACCAGATAAAAATCGTACATCTTTGARCGCGTAATACATTCGTCAACGATTGTACCTGGAGGCGGATTATCGATACTGGATCCATTCATAGCAAAGTATCGGGTATTTATTCGCTTTTGAACAACAATGAAAGTTATTTTTACAGCATAATMTGTAAAAGCACGTTTACAAGCAGCCTCCAGTTGTGGTATCTCATGACCGGAACAAAGAGGCAATTGACCATCACCAACACCATCTCGATATATAATAATACTGTCAGGAAATCTTCCATTCTCTCGGTGAAAACGAGTTACTGCAGCTGTAAACGACGAGCATAGACCGTTAACGATTTCTTCCCTTTTGCCTTGTATTACAGCTTTGCTGTACCACTTTGTGTAAGTAGAATTCAATGACGCCACAAAAGCCGCAACGGAATTTCCCTTTTGAGCGGCATCGTGGTATGAATCTATTCCACAGATCATAACATTTTTAAATGGAATTTTCACGGCCCACAATGACCCACCCAATTTACAGTTCATTTGCARCATGATCTTTTGTACTATCGAACGATTTTTGGCCTCATTCAAAAGTGTTCGTGCATTTATTACCTGTGAAGGTATTGGTATCTCCGCGCAGCAAACTTTTTTTATAGCTGCATAACGATCATCACGATTTGTAGGACTAATACATACGACAATTTGCGATTGGCCATCTATATGACTTCTCAATGCTTTCACAAATGTATCTACTCGATCATTATCCAAAGTAACCATTTTCGGCTTATCAACACGAATTCCTAAAGAGCGTGAATTTCTCTCAACATTTTCGTAAAAAATTTTGGCACATCTTGTATCACTTTTGCAATGCACTAATATCCAATTTGTTAAATGCACCACCTCCAGAACTTCATTGTTACATACATATTTAGAAAAATCTGCATTCATACCAGCCGAGAATTGCTTTTTAGCAAAAATTATTTGTTCTTCTTCAAATTGTCTTCCATTTAAACATTCATGAGAATTCTTCAATGTTAATCCCCAACTTTGAAGTATGTTTTGAGCTTCTGGACAATTGTTAACATTATTGAAAAATTTCTCTAATGCGAGCAGTCTTTGATTAGGTGAGACTCTTGTAAATGTGGCGATCTCACGCATTAATTTGTAGTCCGAACGTATGTCATCTCGTAAGCCAGTCAAATAGCATAACTCAGGAATTAAGCATACCACTAAGTCTTCATCAGCTTTCTTATCAGCGGTTTTTTGCTTCTTTATGCTAATTATAAGCGGTTGACTCTCATCTTTTATTAGAATGTTATGACTCTGTTTGTAATAATCGATATAAGATAACTCGGCTTGTTTGGTTTGGAATGTTGCTTTTGGATTTTTATCAAAGCATATATCATCTATTCTATATGTTCGATTATTATAGCGAGTTATAACTATGGAACCCAATAGAAATTTTTTAGCATTTTCTTGAAACAACTTTGAGTTGGAGCGATAGATCTCTACTAATGATTCAAGCACAGTCTTTTGACACAAAAGTCGATGTGACACGTCACAACACAACATCAAGCCACCTTTATATTCATCAATCGCGGTAACATATCCCGGCCATACTTCCAATTTAGCTTGTGGAATAATTTTTGGAGCTGTTGGATCGAATTGCTTTCGGTCGAAACGAACATAATTTAATGTTTTCATAACTCTATCGAATAACACGTTGTAAAGATGAATACAATTTTTGAGAGCTTCTTTCCTTTTGAATAAAATACGTATTTCGATATCAGAACTATCCGCAAGACTTTTACAAATAAATGTCGTTAATTTTTCTTTTAGTAAAATTGGCAAATAAAGTGTTACTCCGTCAAATGTTTTAGTGCCTCCAAATTCATCGCGATGTTCATTTAAGTACTTCATGCGCAAACTAAGTGAATCTACAGGAGGATGAAATCGTACTTCGTATACGTACACTCCTTTTTCGGGATCAGACGACAACCGAATGTAATTGCATGCTAAACGAACCGGCATACCCTTACTACCATACTTCTTTTCTGGGTTATAAATATCTGACTKAATTAAGTCTATGTTGGGTTCTGGTTTTGATTCCAGCTCAGCTTTAGGTGTGGTAACCGGCGTGGACGATGTAGGCTGAATATTTAGTGTTTGATCTGGTTTCTCTGGAGTAAATAAATTTTTGAATACATTTGCACGGCCACGTCCACCTGACGTAGAAGGTTTGTTCAAATCACTTGAAGAAGTTGTATTTTTTTGATTTGTATCGTCGGAAGAACGACCCTCAAGAGTCATGTTACCGCATGAAGAAGCCAAGTCATCTAGAAGCTTGCCTCGTCCAATACGACGATACTCTCCGGTAGATTGAAGGCTTTTGCTTCCAAGCCCGCTATCTTTTTGTGATGAGTCTGTTGAATCTTTGTCCACCATAAGTGAAAAAAGGAACCCGCGTCCGCGTGCTGCCATTACTGTGGGAATAAAAAAAAATTATTAATTCTAAAATAAGTTATCGGAGTAAGTAATAAGTAATTCGGGTGTAATCGTTTTTTATTCTTGCAATCTGCAAAGATCAAACACCGAGACATAACTTCATATGCTGAGAAAGCTTTATATTAAGTATCGTCCCAATTTTATCATTTTTTCTTAAAACTTGTTCACTGGGATTCATTAAGGAAACTCACATACAATCACCAATTAGATGGATCAAAGTCAGCCCAATGTTAGAAAATCCTGCTAATAGTTACATATATGGAGGGTAGRTCAAGTTTTCGCCGAATTGAATATATTTCAGTTGCAAAGATATATTGTWATGAGTAAAACTGCCGATATATCCACATGGAATTTCAAAAATCTTTATATTAGGTATATGGGGGTTCAGGGAAGTATTGGCCCGATTAAACCCATTTTCTGATATACAGAAATACAAATATTCGTAAAGGTTTCTGACTGAATGTCATTTTTGTACTAAGAAACTCGCATATCAAGTTTCATCAAGATATGTATTTAAATTTTTGCTCAATTTACAGATTGCACGGACGGACAGGCAGTCAGACCCTCACTGGGATTTTCACTTTGCTCGTTAACTATTATACTATGTGGCAACAGGTTGCAACAGTATGATTACAAAGAAATGCGTTACGTCTTTTTTGGATGGCGATTGCATTTTTTCTTCTTCAGAATCCTCATCGTTTTCCATCTCGCTGGAAGTCAAATTCATTGCGTCCGAAATAGTCGGTTCTATAATATCATCTACGTGAGCAGCTGTTTACAAAGAGAGATTTCCCCGAAATGAGATCGAGTTATGGAAGTTTAACTGGAATTGTATAACTTTTAAGAAAATTCGTTCACACAATTTCAATAAAATTAAAGACAGGTGGAAAGGCGAAAATCATTTAAGGATACATTGCTTACACACTGAACGACATATTTGACATTAGATTTGGTAGAATAAGGAAAATCGTTATAGTATGTAGTATAATATACATAAGTTATTTCATGTTTTCGGTATTATACCTAATAAGTATATCCAATTAAATTGACCGATATATACGGTATAAAGCCAAACGGAAAATATGATGTAACGTATTTGGAATTTAGTTTTAAATATAAGGAGTTAATTTAACCGGATATTTGAAAATTCGCAAGTTTTCATCCGATTTTAGACAATAAAATTACGCGTTATTAGAAAAACACGCTCTTTCAATTTTATTAAAATAACCTTGCTCAGAGGCTTCAAAAAACCGATTTTGCGGAGGATTCTTTTGGGAAGGAAAGAAATAAGTGATTAAAGCAAAGGTTTATAGTTATATATTTAAATATCATTTCACCTTTRCATTTGTCGGACGGCAGGCAGGATGCAGTTCGCAATTTCTATCGGAAACAAAAACTTCAAAGAGATTCATATTTTTAACAAGTTAAATCCCATCTATAACTTTGTAAACATATTCTTAGATTATTTTTAAAGAGACTTAACCAAAAAAAAATAAATTTTTAAAGCTTCTAAATCAGGCCCCCTCTTAAGTACACCGAAAGTTTTAAAATTTTTGTTAGGTATGTGAGGGGCTAAGGAATGTTTTCGTTATCTAGAAATGTGGTATTGAGGTTCAGATATGTTGTCATCAAAGTCATCCAACGAAAAGCGCAGGAAACGTGCTATTTCAACGGGCTCAGTCCCTTAGAAGAGGAGTGTTGTAAAGTTAGCTTGGCATGCAAAGTGGTAGTTAAGAGTCATGCGAACACCTTGCGGTACTCGATCATGCAGGACATATATTTGGTATCTCTGGTTGATTCTGGATAAGTACGAGTTTAACCTCCTAAAGTATAAATATAACGAAGTAAGTGGTCCGAAGTATTTTAGCATCTTTGGCTTTACTTGCCAAGGGGTGCGATGTGAATTGCTGGTTAAAATAGCTCGCGTCTTTCTTCGGGTTCCAAGAGGCATGGCCACTGAATTAAATTTCAACTCGGTCATCACATTCAGGTTAGTAAGACTCGTGGTGCTCTATCCATTTTGTCCGAATCTCCAAGCGAGCGGTATCAACTGCTACCACCTTGTGGAAATGACGTTCGTCAACGATCACAGCTGTAGGAATGGGTGGTGCGGTGAAAAAGCTCTCAGCAAATTCTGTGAAGCCGACCCAATTAGCTTCTTTAAAGTTAATGTAGGTACGGTTGTCCACAGAAACGAAATCAGAAGGTTATGGGCAGATGATATGGTAACTGGGGGGACGTATATATTAAATATTTCGAGCTCGACATCGCCTCGACATAGCTATGCCCTGACATTCTAGGGTAGTATCCCTGCGGTCGATCGATCCCTCATCGATTAGACGATACCGCACGGAGTTGTGCAATATGAATGCTAGGCCGCCCCCATTATCTCGCTCGCGATCTTTACGTAAAACGTTGAAACCGGCACAACTCAGAAGATCTGAGCGGCTATTTAACTTGGTTTCTTGGACCGCAGCTAGCAGTACACGTTCCCGATTCATAAGTGCAACTATCTCCTCCATCTTGCTCTGGAGTCCGTTGCAGTTAAATTGGAGTAATCGGGTTTGTCGCGGGTGTGCGTGAGTGATCCTGGGGGTGAGATAGTGACGTCTAGGTGGTGATTGTTGCATCTGCAGAACCCGCAGGGGCGGTTGTCGCGCTGGGGTGTTTGTTGGCGACGCCAACGGGGGCAGACTCCTGCAGCAGGGGCAACGTATGCTTCACGCCAGCCACGTGTGGTGCGCAAGCCGGAACACGCCGGGAAGTGACACCAGCCAGTACAGGAATTGCATTTGACTGATGTAACATTCCGACGTATGACGGTCTGACACACGGAACAGACTGCGCGAGGAACCAAGAGTTGCTGATTAGTTCTCGTACGAGGATTGGAGTGGGATGAAGGTTGGGAGGGACAAGTCAGAGTGGGAGCTATGTTGCCTGTGTGAGCAGATTGCACAGCCGTAAARGCAATTGTCGCAGTATCGCGCAGGCAACATGGGGCCACGTAACGCGTGGTCCACTCCCTATAGGTCCTAAGGCCTGAACAGGTCTTAAGATGGCTCCATCCATTGCATGTATTGCACCTGACCCGAATGCCAGAACGGCTGTCGTGAGAACCGGTTCATCATGTGCAGTCCACTTGAATGACTGCCGATTGAACTTCAGTGGGAAATGATGAAGCTATGTTTCTATCACCGACGCAAAAATTTTTTATTCCGATTAGAGAGCACTTAAACACTTCTCAGAATCAGTTATTCATTGTTTTTGTTACATTATGAACTTGCGAGGCATCTACTTTGCTCTTACTTTGCTCATTTCGCCTGTTTCCAGCTTAGCAAATATCTTTTCAACGGTGGATTTCCCTGCGCGCAATTTCAACTTTATTTTATCGAATAAGCAATGCTTTAACACACGAAATGCTTTATGATCCAATTTTTGGTAAACTAAGACAAGTTGTTCACAAAAATATTATATCTCATTAACTAATAGTTACAATTCAGCTAATAGAAATCATACTGTGTTCAAAAAATATTTGATTTATTCTTCCAAATCAATTGCGTCCCCTTCATAGTAATCCCCACTAGATGTAGTACATTATGCCAACGCATTTTCCAATCTTCGAAACACTGGTTGTAGTCACTTTCCGGGATAGCCTTCAGTTCCGTCCTCGCAGCGGCTTGAATAGGTGTCCCCKGAGCGGTCTTTTGAGCTTGGTGAACAGCCAGAAGTCGCACGGCGCCAGATCAGGTGAATACGGTGGTGCGGAATGATGTGGGCTGAGTTTTCGGCGAAATTATCATTTATCGCAAATTCTTTGCTCCACAAATTTCTACATCGCACAAAACGAAAAACTCACTTCTAGCAGCTCACAAAACGACACGTATCTCAAACACTAATGAATATTTTGACCTGAAATTTGACATAAATGTGRCTGAGAGTACTACCAACCTAAACAAAAATAATTCTCCAAATTTTTCGACGCGCGCAGTTTAAATTCAAATCTCATCTTATTTTTTGGGCACATTCTCTATGTATCAACCACAGTGAAACGTGGACGGGTCCTCTACTATACAGTAAAATACTAACCGGGTATTCGATCAGGATTTTTTTACAGCGCGGCCGAAGGTCGCAATCCAGAAACCACCGGATATAGGTACGTAAAGTTTAGTAAAACATTTTAAAAAAAATATACGTGTTAGTTATAATGCAACCCTTTTGTTATTATTTGAACAAAAGCAATTGAACAAAAAATAAATGTTGAATAAAAGTTATTTTTGCACTATAATAAATGGTTAGAAACGAATTAGAGAAGTGTTAGTGGATATAAAAGTTAAAAATATAACTACAAAATTCATTATAAATGGAAGAAATACGCATTTTAAAGTTGAATTTTTGATCTTTAAATACAAATATCTCAAAAACCATAAATAATTTTACCAATAAAATCGGGGAATGCTATTCAAAAATTTACCCATACTTTCTTTCACACATATGTAGGTATCGTTTGACTTATACATTTGCAATTAATATTTTAAAATTCAACAACTTAAAATTAATTAAATAAAAAATAATAATTATAAAGAACTTACCGCTGAAAACTGTGGTGCTTCTGATTGTACAGCTTGGGTACAGCTATGAATGATTATCGCCTAACGGCACTTTTCTAGTATATTCCAAGAAGCAGCAGCCCCAATTTTAAAGACCCTGTGCAATAATCACATCCTAATGTTATTAATTTAGATTGAGTTTAACTAAAACCACAAAATTACTAAATAAACAATCCACCCTAAGTCAGCAGCCAATGGCATTTACAATATTATGGCATCGATAACAACGAACAGGAAGAATAAATATCTTACAACTGTATCAATTAAATGTTTATATCTTAAATCGGCAAACTGTGTGCCGAAGTAATTAATTAAACCACAGAATAACGTGGATAAATGCAAAACTACACAAAGCTTACTAAGGCATCGGTTACGTTTTATTTGTTACGTTGAAGAGTGGGCAGGGTTGCAAACAATTGAAACAAAAATAACTAGCCCATACCAACCGTCGCTGAGCAACCTAACCCTGTGGCCACACACAACAGTAAAGAATCTGAATTATAAAAAAAAATTGTACAAAATCGCATGTCAATTTCTTGTGTGGTCATACGTACAAGTGTAAGTAAATTAAAAAAAAATAAGTTGCATGTACAGATTTTACCATATCTGAGGCGTCATTTATTTTTCTAAGATTAAATGCGTACTTTAGAATGCATATCGTATGAAAAAAAATTTGGATAGTTGCAACTAATGCTATACAAAATGCACTTTAATACCATGTTCAGACCGAAAATTTAAAATATTAGATTACATTTAAGCATATCATAACCTAACAGTGTTCTCACTGCCGTTAGAAAGATCCAAAAACAGCTGTTATTGTCAGTCAAGAATTCACATCGCCTAATATTTATCAAAAGAAAAGAATCTCATAAAATATTAAAAAAAAAAGCCGTCAATTTTTAAATATTTTCCATATAATAGAAATAATGAATGCATTTTTTCATTTGTTAAGTCGATTTTCAGGTGAAATTAGATTCATTGCTTTAAAAAATCGTTTGTTTACACTTTTTTCCCTTTGTAGTGTCTAAATCAGCTTTGATAACGTAATATGAAGTGATTTTGAACTGTCATTTTTKTATGGCGAAATCTTGATAAATTTATAAGATTACTGGGATAATCCATTCAACAGCCAAAATCGTGTGATTAAGTATCGGTCTGAACATAGTTTAAGATATAGGTTTTTATTTTAGTTATTTTAGTTCAAGTTTATAACTGCGGAAGCATTATGTAAAAAATTATGGACGGCACACGATCAATTAATTGTTTTCGAGTTGCAATACCCTGACACTTTTCTACCACCACAATTTGACTTTTCGAACTTGACGGTCATCTTTAAATACATTTCTCCATTAAAGCCGTGAAGCAATTGGACGAAAATGTTGAAACAAATGACGTGCAATATCGATCGAATGATATCATAATACGAGTGTATCAATACATTAGGGGTATTCGCTTGCTCTTGCAAAACCCCTGCACGGTGCAAGCATGGATAATATGATACGAGACTTTAGCATTGGTTCTCTTTTTCTCTCAGACGCGTTCCCTGATTATTTGACAGCGATGGAGATCAGGGAATTTCTGACAGTTGATTKCAGAAAAGGCGGGATTTGGCAAAATAAATGTTTATGTAAATTAATTAATGATTTTGCATTTTAGCATTTATATATGTATGCATTTTCAAAGTGTTTAATTTAGTGTTTTGTACAATTTATTTAATACCTAATCTCATATTTTTCAGCAGTGGCATCATTGGCAAATGTTATAAAAAATGCGAAGTTTGACAGCTCTCTCTCGAACCAAAGAGTCTCATATYATATTATCCATGGTGCAAGAATTGCATATATTTCCTCTTGGTGCACCAGCACAACAACAAACACACACAGAAAATTATTTGCAATGGCTGTAAAATATGTATGTCAGACCAAAACCCAAGAATGATAGAGAAAGAGATTACGCAAAGCGCATGTTTGCTTTCAGTCAGCTGCTCTTGCTGACGTCAGGGTTGACTTATTATTCGCCAGCGCCTTTGAATATGAATTTGAATTGTACTTGTATTATTTGAAGTGAAGTATTTTTTAAAATTCGTTACGCAGCGTTCGGATGCAATAATAACAATGTTAAGATAGTGCTACGGAGTGGAGATTTTTCCATTTCCCTAAGGATGAAATAGAACTCAAACAATGGATTTTTTTATGTCAACGGGCGGACAAAATTAGTGTTAAAAATGCGTTCATTTGTGAAGTGCACTGCGCTCCAGAAGCCTCCGAAAGCTATTTGCAGTTTATAATGGGTAATTATATCAKTCGAGAACGACAACAGTCGGCCTGCAGTCGTGTAGTCGTGCAGCTGTCMAAATAGGTTCGTCCATAAGAACGTGTGCATTTTAATATTTGACAGATGTCGTTTGCAGCCTGTCGCGAGCATTGTATTCAACACATTAAATTGCTAGAATAGGAAAGAATAGGAAAGACAAGAAGAAGAAAACGAAAAGCGCAGTTTATTTTGGATTTTGTAGAAATATACAAGTAACAAAAGAATCATACGGTCGCCAACAGCTGAGATCACCTGATCGAAGTGGTTGATTTTTCGGTACAGAGATTCAAATAAAAGGACTTAAAAATAATAAAGAGGTTGCAATATAGGCGCGTTGTCGATCTTTTTTGGGTAGTAGGTTCCCCCGGAGACCTATTTTCACCCATATAATATATACCATACTAAACAAAACTATTTGTAATAATTTAAACAAAATATATATATATTCTTCAAATATTTTTAACAAAATAGAAAAGATTTACAAATATTTTGATACAATTAATAAAATTCTAATCAAAACTAGGTAAATGTAATCTTTATAAATTTTAATAATCGAAATTCATTTGAAAATTTAAGAAAAACGTGCTTTAAATAATAAATTGGATAGCATAACACGGCAACACACTCGTGCCTTTTCTAAGGCATTTGACCGTTTTAGTAGTAGAATATTTAGGAAATCCTAACGAACTACCTGGGGTTCTTCCCTCATTCTATTGCATTCTTAATATAATTTTCTATGTATATATGGGCGAAAATTATAAGATTTGTTACTTGAAGGTTTATACAAGGATTTTGGATTTTGAAAAGGTAAGTTCSTTATTTGATACTTTATAATTAATTTCTATTATATATCTACATATTTATTATTAATTCATTCCCCGTCGAACTGTCATCGTAACCGGTTGCTTTTCGCTCTTTGCTTATT